ATTCAGTTGTAACAAACTACAATATTTGCCATTTAGTGTTTGGTCTCCAAACATGGCTAGGATTTGCTAGAAATAAAAGGTTTACTTGCTTTAAGTAGAAGCTAGCACCTGGCTGACCTTAGCTAATCTTGTTAAAAAAAAACTTAAGCAGGATTGCTCTCTTGGTTTACACGTAGATGGGAGTAAAGTCCCATCAGCTATCAACTCAACCATGTTATACTAATTGTTGTAAATTTAATTTCGATTCATAGTGATTATACTAGAACTACAGCAAGATACCCTGCCTACTATTAAAAAAAAGAGATCAAAGATGAACCAGCCCTTGAAATTTTTTTTTCAATGCAATGGTGACATTGCTTCAAAAAAAGAATACCCTGCATAGGGTAAATACACCTATCTTATACTTCCTTTTCTAAAAATAATTTTATTAAAGATGAGAGGCATATAAAAACTAGTATAAACTCCAAAAAAATTAATAGTGAAAAACATAGAGATGGAATAAAAAAATATAGCAATGAAAAGAAAATATATAAGTACTTCTTTTGTCACAGCTATAAAAGAATTTTAACGTATGACTTTCTCTTACAACACAACCAAAAATCTCTTCATCCTATATCTCATTTTTACCTATAAACCGATTCTTATAACCTCATCATTCAGTCCTAATCAGCAAAAGTCCACTAAAGGAAGCCAGAAATAACAATATAACTGCTTTAATCTTGATCAGATAAATCTACTTTATATTCCTTCTTTTACTTTTTACAATTTTGATCCATAATCCCTTCAAATAATATTCTGGAGTTTGTTTCCATTTTTTTCTTTGTCCCTTCTCACTAAATCCTTCAGACCTTTAACAGATCTCTTTTGTAAATCTACTATAAAAAGTTTTATGGTTTGCAACTTGTACATTCCTTTCAGTTATTAAGACATCAGCTGGTTTCATTTGTAAAACCAGGGTAACATCTTTTTCCATGTTAGTCTTGCAGCCTGGCATGTTCAAATCCACTTTCAGATCAGTCTCAGCCCTGTCCGGCAAAACTTGTTCCTATTCCACAACATCTCTTAAAAGCCATCTTTCTATAATGGCAAATAATTCTAAGATGAACTCCTGGAACTGCTGTTGCAAATAATTTCACATATGTTCAGTGTTATTTTGCTCCATTCTGTGTAAATAAGTCAAATGTAAATATTCTCCTCCTTTAATTATAATCTTTAATTGCCTCTAATGTCCAATGTTCAAATTCTAATTCTATCATGTTTTCTTTAAAGAATGTAAAATGGCATTTTCCCACAGGAAAGGATTCCACAATCAATTTCAAAATCTTTATTCCAAATATATGGACCCTTGTCTATTTAAAACTTTCAAAAATCAATATTCCAATCTCTTATGCAACTTATTCCAAAAACATTTTCTAATGTCAAACTTCTTTTTAGAATATATTTTTTTTTGCTATTGATTAAAGAGAACTCACCCAATGCATGTAATCAGACCTGTCAATTGAAAGATTAATAGTTGAAAAGCAGATAAAAATCAATTTCCAAAAGTGATTTTAAGACTTAGATTTGGCAGAACTTAGTGTCCATAAGGCTACATTGTGCTTGTGAGTGTGGTGAGTCCCTAGATTATTTCCTTCATGAGCCAACTGCTTCCACAGTTGACTTACAAGGAGCAGCTATCTGGAATACAAATGGATGATCTCATGATCTCTCCCTTATCTGGAGAGGTTTTGCTGTCCAGAAAATGCTGTCTAGCTGATCTCATTGCAATGCCATCTCCATTTCCTCAGAGATGTCTAGTTCACAATGAATCCTTACCATAAGTCCATTACCTTCGCATACACTGAAAATTTTGTATAGATGACTAATAAATTAGCACATACAAATAATACTTAGGCTAATGTATAACATTTTTTTAAAAAAATAATTATATAGGTTAATAGTCCCTTCTAGAACAATTTTTTCATTAATGAGACATAAACAGTCTACAAAGAGTGCTAAATATATCTAACAGCATACAAAAATGCAGGAAGAATGTATATGTCTATTTTTTGGTAATCAAAATAGGGTATTCTCTTTCCTAGAGTACATTATAAAGAGTAAAAAATGCACTTTATAAAAATTACATGATCTCACGAATTATTGTTCTGATCACAACTAATGAGAAAAACAAAACAAAACCCCAGTGAATAATGCAGAGATATAGCAAACACCTAAGATTACACTGAACAGCCTTCCTCAACCAGGTCCTCTTTAAAAATGATGGGACTACAAATGTTCAGACCACTCAGCTAGCTGCAAATTCAGGATCTTGTACTCATCTAGAGAGCATCAGACTGAGGAAGCTGTACACCCAGCACATTTCTTATTTTGTCATTTTTGTCTGACCCTTCTGGGAAACTTTCGGATTATTGTATTAGGGAGCTATCAAGTGTTAAATCCTATCAGCAAATGTAATTAGCATATATAGAAGACAAAATACAAATAATCACAACCATTACTCAGCTCTAAGCAAACAGTGAAAACAATTTAATCTAAGGCTGCCTCCTACAATGTATGAAGTGAATTACCAAGCCTCATGGGGAAAGAAAGCCTTTGCCCCCTAGGTATAATAAACCGTATTATACCAAAACCAGTTTGCTTCAATATCAAAGCAATATATGCTGTCAAGAAAATTAATGCTAGCTGCATTTCAAATGAAATACTCTAGAGCCAATTTGTGAAAAGGACTTTTGAATTATTGCTAATGATATTCCAGGAGATGTTGAATCATTAAATGCCATTTAGAGGTGTATTATATTTTTCATTTATCTATAATGAGCCTTCTCTGAGCAGGTTATATAAGGAGGTTTAATCCTGCTATGAAAGCCAAACCACATATTATACTGTTATAAATGTAATCAGTTCACAATGAACAAGCTATTAAAACTGATTAGATGGATCTCAAGTTATTTGAAGCATTTTTCTTCATTTTGTTGTGGTAGTTTATACTTTTCTGATGCATTATTAAATTGTATTGCTCTTTTTATGGATGATCTAAGAGAGCACTTCTTAAACTTTTTTCCTCTCAGGACTTCTTCCCACTTTTAAAAAAATACTGAAGATGCTCCCCCCCCCAAGAGCTTTGGTTTATATTGGTTATATTTGATATTTACTATATTAACAATAAAAATAGATATATTTGCTTTCACTGCCGTTTATGAATGCTTGAGGGGATTTTAATGTTTTTCCCCATTAGCTGGCAAATAATTTTGATTTCACAGACACAAGATGGTCTTGGGGGAAAAGACAATCAACATCAAGGAATATTTACTTTTACCCTGAGGTCCAGATTTATGCTCTCATTTACTGTATTTTGTGTTATAATACTGTTACCAGGATGTGCACATACCTGAAAAAAACTTGCCCCAAATGGTTTTATTAACATTTGTTCTAAAACGCAGGAAGGATGTGGTTGAATTTTGAATCACATCTTATTTGTCTAAATGTTTTCTAAGCATTAGGAAGTGAGATGGAGCTGGGAGTTAAAGCCAGAGATAAAGCAAATAACATTCTGCCTCTTTAGAAAGTAACAGCCAAGAGGAAATGATTGTATTTTTCCCGGCAGATCTGCCCATTTTTATTAAAAAAAAAATAAATATGTGCTGCTTCATAACAAATCGTAGCTCTGCTATGCCTAGAAAAGACACCATTCAGGATTTTAAAGTAAATCACCATCATTAATTATCACAGGCACAGGGCTACAACAGATCTTAATTTTAATTCTAATGTGTTTTTTTGGGGTGGGGGAAGAAACCACAACAAAGCCCAGAAATCACAGCTGTAGTGCTAACCTCAATGAAAGAAGTGGCAAAATGAAGAGGACCCATTCTGAGACTATGGCACTGCAAACCCACTTGCACTTTGGAAAAAAAACACCTTGAAGAAGGCAAAGGTCTCAGCTGGCCACAGCTTGGCAACTTCCTTCTCCTCCCAGAAACCCAGCTGCTCCCAACTTAACTTTCTGGTAATTATCAGCACAAACCTCTTTCAGTCACCTGCCACCTCTAAACAGTACCCAAAAACAAAACAAAAAAAGTTTGTATTGAAGCGAAGGGATTACAGGTAGTCCTCAACTTACAACCACAATCGAGCCCAACATTTCTGTTGCCGAGACAGTTGTTAAGTGAGTTTGGCCTCATTTTACAACCTTTCTTGCCACAGCTGCCAAGTTGTTGATTAGTAACACGGTTGTTAAGTGACTCTGGAATTTCCTCATTGACTTTGCTCGTCAGGAGGTTGCAGAAGGGAATCACCCCCACCCCCCCCACACACTGCAAAGGTCATAAATACGAGTCAGTTGCCAAGCATCCAAATGTGGCTCATGTGCAATCCCGGCAATATGATGCCACAGTCATCCGGGTTGAAACAAAAAAAAAAAACGGTCAAAAGTCCATTTTTTGTCCCCCACCAGTGCCATTCCAAGTTCGGATGGTCGCTAAACGAACTGTTGTAAGTTGAGGACTACTACACCTTGTACATTGCAGCTACAACAGAAAGAGGAGATTGCAAATATCCCGGCCAAAAGAGCACCAAAACTTCCTGACACGAGGGGGCTTTTTTTGAGGGGGTTGGGGGAAGCCAAGGCAGCTCTTCTTTGCTGAGCCGGGCCACGTGGGTCGGGGAGAAATAAATAAATGAATCAAAGAAAAATTTAAAGAGAGAGAAGCGAAGTCCGCTACGGGCTTCTTAACTCGTCTTCAGGGTTTTATTTTTTATTTTTTTGGACAATTGCGGGGCCGAGCAGCTGCTGAGAAGGAAAGCGCGGGAGTCCAAAACTGCCCCGGGGGAAACGAAACCCTCGTGGGGTTCCCTCAGAGAGCCGAGGCATCCTCTAGATAGACGGGCTGGGGCGGGAGAAAGTTGAAGAAGAGCGAAGGGACCTTTTTAAACCAAACAACCCACAACCAGCAGACCCCTCTGGGCTCCTGGAAGGCCGCCTCAGATTCCCCGCTCCACCTTACCAGCTGTTGCCGGATCCAGCGCAACATCCCCTCGTCCGGCGGGGCGGGTCGGTGGCTCCCAGCCCGCGGTGGCGGGCAACTTTCCTTTACCTCACGATCCGAGAAAGAAAGACGGCCCCGTCAGAAAGACCGGCGCTGCTCCTGCTGTTGCTGAGGAGGAGGAAGAAGAAGAGGAGGAGGAGGAGGAGGAGGCCGCCGCCCTCTTTCGCAACCGCCGCTCCCCATCCGCGCGGGAGACCGAGGTGCTTCCTTTTTTTAGCGGCGAAGCGGAAGCCCGTCCGCTAGCGGCAACTGCAGCGGACGCCGCCGCCACAAGAAACCTCGGAGCGGACGACAGGCTCCCGCCATCATGCAAGCCGAGCCGAGCCGAGCGCCTCGCCTCAGACCCCGGCCTGTCACCGAGGGCCCGCCCCCTTTTCCCCTCCCTCCTTCCCTCCCCCCCGCCCCCTTTCCTCCTCCCCCCCCGCCCACTCCCGCGTGCCTCTGAGCTCCAGGAAGTGACGGAAGGGCGGGGGGGAAGGATAACGGGAGAGGGGGGGGAGGGGAAATAGAAGGGGGAGCTACAACCCGCCAATGGGAAGCGTCCCGCGCCTGGGTGGGAGGAGCCGGCGAGGGGTGGCCGAGATGTGAGAAAAGAGGGAGGGGGGAGAGAGAGGAGGAGAGTGGCACGTGGCAAAGCGGGAAGAGTCTTTGTGAGGAGCCCGTAAAGGCTTCGCGGTTTGTTTGTTTTTCCCTTTGCGAAGCGGGGGGGGGGGGGGTGGGGGGGGGGGGGGGGGGGGGGAGAATCTTTCGGGGGGGCTCCCCTTTAAGGCGGCCCCGTCTGAGGGGGGAGGTTTGCTCGGTTTCCGCGCTTCTCTTTCCCTCTGGTTATTGAAGTAATTGAGTGGGGTGGGGGGAGGTCCTGCTAAGGCAGGGGTCTCCAACCTTGGCTACTTTAAGCCTGGAGGACTTCAACTCCCAGAATTCCCCAGGCTTAAAGTTGTGTGCTAAGGAAATACTACTTCCTCCTTAGAAGTCTGTAGAGATTCTTAGTCATCCAGGTCATGGTTGTCCCAAAGGTGCTTTTTCAGGAGGCAACTGGACTTTCATGGTTTTTTTGTTTTCCTTTTGAAGCCGTTTCCCTTCTCATCCAAGAAGCTTCTTCAGCTTTGACAGGAGAGTGAGGAATGGAAGGATTTATATTCCTTGCAGACTGCTGGTCATTTGCATCCTTTTAGAGGGTCGTTGAAACACTTGGAGGCTTCCCCTGAGTGGGGCTCCCGGTTCCTACAGCCTGCCATTTTTCCTCTGGAAATCCATTCCACATCATTCAAGGGGTGTTTATCCCAAATTATATAGCTAAAACAGGATGCCCTCTGAAAAAAATGCAAAGGACCCAGCGGCTTGCAAGGAATATAAATCCTTCCATTCCCCACTGCCCTGTCAGAGCTGAGGAAGCTTCTTGGATGAGAAGTGAAATGTCTTTAAAGAAAAACAAGAAAGTCCAGTTGCCTTCTCAACAAAGCATTTTGGGGACAACGATGACCTGGATGACTGAGAATCTCTACAGACTTTCAGCTGTGCAATTTGGGATGAATACCTTTTGAACGGTGTGGGAGTAAGAATGGATTTCCAGAGAAAAAGATAGCAGACTACAGGAACCAAGAGCGCTACCCAGATGACCCCGAAGACACAGATAAATTTTCAAGTGCTAAAAGCACCTTCGGGACAACCTCCTGTCCCCAACCTGGTGCCTCCAGCAGTGCAGAGCTGCAGTGCTCACAGTGGTGGGTGGAGGGGTGAAGAAATCTCTGGGGTTTGGAAGTCTTTATGGGCTTCATCCACGCAACTTGCTTGGCTCCCGATTCTAAACTCATTTTCTTGCATTTGCAGACTGAAGGCAACTTTCCATGGGATTGTTTTTTTATTTCTGGGGTCAGAAACTTCATATTGTTGCCCTGGCTGGAGGATTCTGCGAGTTGAAGCATCATACATCTTAAAATTGTCAAATTTGGAAAATACACATCGTGTGGTTTTAAAAACCCAACTATTGTCTTTAACAACAATCTGAAGTGCGATATCCTTGACACCAGAGAGAAAATACGTGTATGTCTGCATATTTCAAATAGTTAAACTATCTGCCTTCCAAAGCAAAGTGCAAATATTTGTTAAATTAGCTATAGATTTACTTACAAAGTTACTTACAGCTTACAAATGAGATAGGTAACAGCTGAACAGACTGGCTGACCAACTTTCCTTATATCGTCCGGCAATATTACATCTTATTTTTTCCAGTGAAAATGATTTTGGTGGCGTAATATGCAGTTAAAGCCCTTCCCAGACATAATATAAGCTGTACTTTAGCCCAAGTAATTGCCATCTGTATCCAAATGGATGTAAGAAACAGATAATGACATAACTAGCAGTTTTGTTTTTAGCTACTGGTATAAAGAAAGCAGCCTAAGTGGGGGAAAGTATCAAGCATTGTTTATAGCATTCTGTTAATATATACAGGTAGTCCTCTACTTACAATCATTTATTTAGTGACAGAAATTACAATGGCAGTGAAAAAAGTGACTTATGACCATTTTTCACACTTACGACCGTTGCAGCATTCCCCATGGTCACATGATCAAAATTTGGCCACTTGGTAACTGGCCTGTCTTTATGAGGGTCATGCAACCTTCTGACAAGCAAAGTCAATGGGAAAGCTAGATACACTCACAAACTGAAAAAGTTGTTCAGAATTACTAACCAAACAACTGCAGTAATACACATAACCGTGGCAAAGAAGGGTCATTAAAAAGGAGCAAAACTCACTGAAAAATTGTCTCATCAACAGAAATGTGGGGCTCAATTGTGTTTGTAAGTCGAGGACTACCTGTATTTCTTTTGCCAGCCAAGTTTTGGTTATATTTTTTTCCCCATAGACTGTTTTTTGCCTCTAAATCTTGTTATACAGGTAGTCCTCAGCTTATAACAGTTCCTTTAGTGGCCGTTCAAAGTTACAATGGCAGTGAAAAAAGTGACTTATGACCGTTTTTCACACTTACAGCCACTGTGTGTGCTTCCCATGATCACATGATCAAAATTCAGATCCTTGGTAACCAACTCACCTTTATGACAGATGCAGTGTTCTGGAGTCATGCAATCCGCTTTTGCAACTTTCTGACATGCAAAGTGAATGAAGGAACAAGATTCACTTAAGAACCATGTTACTAGCTTAACAACTACAGTGATTCACTTAACAAATGTGGGTAAGAAAGGTCATAAAATGGGACAAAACTCACTTAACACATTTCTCGCTTAGCAACATAAATTTCAGGCTCCATTGTGGCCATAAGTTGAGGACTATCTGCATTAAATCTATGGACTTGTTCCATAATGTTTTCAATTGTTATATTGAATATTAGAATCATTATTCTGGAATATTCTCCTGTGAGATCTGTCACCCTAAGCCTGGCCTTTTGGAAGAATCTAGAAATTTTTTGGGGGGTGGGTGGGCAATAGGGGCCTTATATGTTGGGACTGGTTGACCCGGGAGAGAAGCTCCCCACTTCCAGGTCTCCTGTTGTCTTGTTTTTTTATCTTTTTTAAATTTAATTTCTCTAACTTCAATTGTCTTCTGTGACTTTTTTTATTTTTTATCATAGTTCAAGCTTCCCAGAGTCACTGCATCATTGAGATGACTGACATTATATACAAACAAATTGATTAAGATGTTCAAGATAGAAGTTCAAGATTAATATAAAGATGACAAAGATAAGATAACCTTTATTGTCATTTTTGTCTCTGAACGCACTGGCACAGATTGAAAAACGACATTCTGATGCCCGCTCTCAAAAGAAAATGTAAGCCAAAATGTTGAAAGTCCACCCAAGCAAACAGTGCTATCCAGGGAAGAATCCTTTAAACCAAGTTTCTGTTGCAGTGATGGCACAGCAGTTTCTCACCTCTGGTTTGTTATTAACCCTAGCTTCAAGTAATCCATTTTAGGCTTTAAGGAGCACATTAGCAAACAAAATAGATGGTAGTGTCACTCTATATGGATTAACCTTTAAGCCTAGCTGTTAGCCCTCCATCCAAAATATCTATATTTTTGTTATTATATTTCTATCCCATTTTCGCTTGATGATCACTTTCCCGAAACAGACGTAATGGCATCGTCTAGCCATTTTGGAGCCAAAAGAACAATAAGAACAACAGCCTTTTAATACTTGAACAATGGCTAGGGGATATTATGAAGAGCTTCAAAGTGGCAGTGAACACAGGAGGTCTTCCTTCATTTTATCTTAGCAAAAGCAACTCTGTGAAGTTGGTTAGCCAGGTCCATGTTAATGGATATATCATCTCCATTTAATCCACTGCATTTTTTTCCTTTCTGGTGCAGAATATAGGAGGGTTGACCTGGTGTCCTATTTTCTACCTCTATCCTGTTGCTATTATGTTTCTCAAAGGCTGGAATAATCAAAGATCATTCCTTTTGGGACTGTCCATGCTAATTGATTTATTGATTATGTGCTCCCAAGTCTGTATCAACTCATAGTGGCTAGATAGATATTTTTTCCTCCAAGAAGATCTGTCTCAACTGGACCCTTCAGATTTTCCAAAGGTGCATCTATCATTGATGTAGTTGAATCCATCCACCTTTGTTGAGGTAATTTCCTGTTAGGAGAATGAGCGCATACAGGGAGACGTTTTGAGAGTAGTGTTTGAATAATACACATACAGCACACAGATACACTGTACATTAAATGTAGGTTTTTACTTCCAGAAAGGTTTAAAGCAAAGTTCAAAAATAGGCAGTCCAAAGTCATTCACAGCTAAGATCAGTCAGTTTTTAGTCCAGGGATAATCCAACAACAAAGTCCAGTGTCAAAAACAGTAACAGACTTACATCAAATCCAAGAATAGCAGTCAATTAGGAAAAATGAAGGAATGGCAATACTCTCCAACAGAAAGAAACAGAGACTCGCTGAGACTTCTGAGACTAAGACTAAGACAACCCAGGTTTCTGGCTCCATCTTATGGCCGTTTGAGAAACCACACCCAATTACAGTTTTTGCATTTTCTTAAAGATACAGTATTAAAAAGTCTATCCTGGTTTATCTATTTCAAACCCAAATACCTGTTAGGTGACTTATATTCCTAACAACCTTGTCCTCTTTTGTGTCCTCTTTTGGTATTTGATTTCTCAATGCATAATGTGTCCAAAATAATGATAATCTGAGCCTGGTCATTTGTGCCACATGCAAGAACTTTGGATGATTTGATCCAATTTGTTCAACATGATCAAATGTTCAATCATCCAAAATGGATCATCGAATGTGGTCCAATTTTTGATTATTTAGGCATTCTCAGGAATCTTCTCTAATATCAAAGCTGAAAAGCATCAACACCCTTTCTATTCTGATTCTTCAGAGCCC